GATTAATGATTGTACATGGAGCATTGACCCCCCTATACTGAATTTTATTGTTGTTAACAACCATTTGATCAATAAATATGAGAGATGCCCTCTCAAAAAAAAAAAACTGAAAAAAAAAGTTCTGTTTCTGTTTTGACAATTCAGAACAGAACCGTTATCCCATAATGCTTTTAAGAACTAAAGTATACTTAAATGTAAGCATGTGAACTGCAGTAGATGTGTTGTAATTACTATTATTTCATTTAACAAAAGTCCCAGTGGATTTGTCTGATGCACTATTTTAGGCACCAATAAGAAATTTTTAAAATGCTGCCAATTATACTTGTTAGACATTATGAATTATAATTGCATTCCAATGTGAGATGTTAAAATGTGAGAAAATGAGAATCTTAAAATCATTAAAATACAGTGTTCTCTCGAATCCTTAAAACATTTGCAAAGTGTAGGTATAATTATATCATTTTACTAAATTAAATTGTCTTCAAAATGTAGTAGTTATAGTAATTATAATAATAATATAACAATTGCTGACCTGCTGTTTGTGCTAGGAACTCTTCTAAAACACTTAGCATAGATTCCCATTTAAACACAACAGTAGTATCCTGTGAGATAACTTTTTATCTCCATCATGTAGATGAGAAAATTAAGGCCCAGAAAGGTCAAGTGATTGCTAAAGTAGGATTCAAACCCAAAGTGAGCTGAATCCCAAGGTCATGCTCTTTCTATTCAGATAGACTGCACTTTCATTAATGTGGGAAGTAATAAAGCTGATAAATACTGTAACTCCTCCAGACAAAAGTAAATGTTTTTTTTGCAGCATATGAATAATGAAAAAGTAAATATTTATTTTGAAGCATATGAAAAAAATAATTACATGAATAATTGTATGCTTTGAGGGAGTGCATTATAATTTTCTAACAAGTTTTCTTACTTTCCTAGGACTGTACTACGTTTGGCCTGCGCCAATGGCCATGTAGAAGCAGTCACTCTCCTAGTAAAGAGAAAATGTGAGCTTAACCTGTGTGACAATGAAGAGAGGACACTTCTGATAAAGGTATGTAGCAGCCATCTATGCCAGCCTGAGATGGTTTTGATGTAATAGCTGAGAAGAGAAATGAATTTATCTCATTTAAGCTATCTCACTGGTGAAACCTATAGAGTGTCTGGTTTGAAATCCTAGTTATAGTCTGTTTCTTGGTATAATACCGACAGGCCATACAATGCCGGCAAGAGGACTGCGCGCTTATTCTTCTGGAATCTGGTGCCAATCCAAATATCAGGGACATCTCTGGCAACAGTGCTCTCCACTATGCAGTTTGTAGCTCGCGTATAACAACAGCGGCACAGCTGCTTTTATGCAATGTAGACATCGAGGCAAGAAACAAGGTATGTGTCAACCAACTGTATCTACAAAGATTTGAAATAACATGTTTTTAATTTCTTTAGTAGCCATAGATAATATAAAATTCTTTCACATATACATGTATATGTATGTGTGTGTATATGTAGACACATACGTATACTACATACTGTACCTCAGGCCCTGTCACCATACAAACAACTCCAAAGCCAAGTCAGGGAGGGCTAGAGTAAGGTGGTGCCCATACGGAGGGCAGAACAGTCTCCTGGCCACCCTGCTGCCCCCCAGGGGGAGGACCTTCCCATGAGTGCCTGGGAGGGGGTGGTAAGCTCAGAGCCCAGAAAGGACTGGAAGCTGAGAGGGTGTGTGAGGTGATGGTGGAGGCTGGCTGCTCTGCAGGGCCTTAGGAAATGGGTGCTGCTGGGGATGAGTGGAAGAGGTGGAGAACTGGTACACGGCCAGAGGGGCTGGGTGAGTGCATGTGGGAGGGGGAAGCAGCAGACCACAGGCCCTGAGCACTCTAGGACCCCAGGGCTCTGAAGATCAGGGAGAGGGATTTGGGTCATGTCTTGACATCAGTAGGGCCATTCCCTTGTGCTGGCGACCTCTCTGCCAGCCATGTACCACTTTAGGGTTTCTCACGTCAGAGAGTAGCTCCTGACCAGCCTCACGTATCTCTTCGCCAGCTTGTTGCTGTACTTGAGGAGCAGGTGATGTTGAAGCTGGTCTGCCGGTTCTTTATTCTGTACATATAGTTCCTCCTATGCTGCAGCCCTGACAGGTTGATACAGCTAGGGTCAATTTTACATATGAGGAAACTCAAGCATTTCCTGACTGAAAATGTTTTGAGATAACTTAATTATCTAATATTCCAGTTAAAATAATATCTCTTCTAAGGAAGTATTAGAGTACAGTTTTCTTGCATGCATTTATGGCAAATATTTGTGAAAACACCGAATTTGTTAAAGTACAGCTTTTCTTTAAAATATTTTTTCCCCATCCCAAGTTTTTTCTAATTAGTGTAAAGCAACACAGGAAAGCCAAGTTTGCCTTGGAAGTAGGCTTTTATCTAAAACTCAAAAGAAATGCATTTTATAATATAAAATTATTGCTGCTGTTGACAAGTTGCTATTTCATAAAAAAAGTGACTTACATAAAAGTGATTCCTCTTTCATTGGCTAAAGCTTAAGAGGGAAAAAGGAAAGGGAAAAGGAGAGAGCAATCAGAAATATGCAGGCCAATTTAGAAATTTGGTAAATGAGGGGAAATAACAAGAAGAGGGTTTTTTTTGTGTTTGTTTTTTTTCATTCCCTGTTTTTCTGTGTGTAGGTGAGATGTCTTCAGCTTTGGGAGATAATACTTAGTTTGGGAAAGAGGAAGAGTGAGTTGTAAACTTAGAGATTGATATTAGGAGGACTGAGGAACCAGATCGGCAGGGAACAGGTGGTGATTAAGTGGGAAATGGGGGAGAAAGATATAATGAACTGAAATATCCTATTCGCACAGAAACAGCCATGTAGATGAAAGTCTAAACTCTGCCCTTCCCATCAAGAACATCTTGATGGGAAGGGAGGAGTTTATGAATAACGAAATGAAGTTACATTTTTAGTTTCCTTATCAGTCCCTGTTCTGCCCTGGCCCAGGAAAATTAAATGCAGTTTTGCTAAGGGACTTGTCTCTTATGCTTCCCTGTTTTTGGCAAAATCCTCAAATGATAGTGCAAATTGACCACATATGTGAGACGTGAGACTGACATGATTGTCCAGTGCACCAGTTCTCAGCTAGCTTTGTGCCGGTGAATCAGAATGAAACCCCTGGGGAACCTTAAAAAAAATGTACAAGCCTAGGCTGTCCCCTGAAGATTTTGACTGAATAAGTCTAATATGGCCTGGATATGTATATTTAGAAATATTTCCTTGAGGTACTGATACAACTCTTGCTTAAGAATTACTGAATGGGTAAGTGTAATATATAAATTTGCAGATCTTACCAGCCTAAGAAACCTGTAGATGAGTTGGAGTTTGATAGGTGTTACTTCCTTCAGCTCTCTCCTTTCTGACAATGTTAGCCTGTCTTCCATCTGGCCCTACCTCAGTGACTGAGAGGTTAAAAAAGAGTATTACTGGTGTTATCTATTGGCTTAAAGGATAACACGTTTTTCCATTCAGTCATCAGTCGTTCCCTGGCACACAGAGAGTCCTTAGTAATTTACTTCTGGGTAGTCTTTTAATAAGTAGAGGCTGACCCTTGGAGGATTTTGCATCTTTTGTTATCATTCAAGTCATTAGACCAACAAATTGGTTATCACAAGCAGGGTTTTCCGATTGCAATACTAGTAAATCATGGACCTTCTTTTTAGCTGAAGTTGTGTGATAGACTGTCTCAATATGTCTGTTAAATTCATAGAGCTCTGGCAAAATTACGATGGCAGTTTTAAACATTGAAATCCATGTACTTAGTGACAATACAGATGGGAATTGTTTTAATAGGTTAGTTTTCAGCAGTCCTATGAACCTAGTTATCCATTTGTTTAACAGTCTAGGAGAATTAAATACAAATAGATTGTAGCTTTCATAAGCATTGGAAAAATTCTTGGAGCGGGTATTATGAGTCTTTTTTTTTGTCAAATGTGCATCACAATGGTTCAACAGTCCCCGTCCTCCTCCTCCCCCCACCCCTGCCCAGTCTTGTCCCCCTTGATAACCACTAGTCACTTCTCAGTGTCCTTGAGTCTAATGCTGTTTTGTTCCTTGTGCTTTGCTTTGTCTTTCTATTCCACAAATAAGTGAAATCATATGGTATTTGTCTTTCTCCACCTTTCTCTAACTTCACTGAGCATAATACCCTTGAGACCCATCTGTGTTGTTGCAAATGGCAGGATTTTTTTTTATGGCTGAATAATATTCTGTTGTGTATATGTACCACATCTTCTTTATCCAGTCATCTACTGAAGAATGTTTAGGTTGCTTCCGTATCTCGGCTATTGCAAACAATGTGGCAATAAACATGGGGGTGCATATGTTTTTTCTTAATCAGGGATTTTGTTTTCTTCAGGTAAATTCCTAGGAGTGGAATTATTGAGTCAAATGGTATTTCTGTTTTTAGTTCTCAGAGGAATCTCCATAGTGCTTTCCATAATCATTGCACCAATTGGCAATCCCACCAACAGTGTAGGAATGTTCCTATTTCTTGGTATGATGAATCTTAATAGCAATTCTTATTATATGTTGGGCCCAATTTTTTGGTAAACCATATGATACTAAAGAAAGGGAAGATTTTACATACAAGTATTTGCTTTATATACAGCCAGTTGGAAATGTAACAAATATAAAAACACAAGTGGGCTATAGACTAACTGTGGCCCCTGAATACATTTAATTTACCTCCAAAATTGAGTCAGTATTTAAAATGGAGGAGACTCATGCAGAAATCTGGGTTTCAGGCTTCTCCTAAAGAATCATATCTGGAATGTTGAGCCCTTCCTACTATGAGGTGTGCTGTGCAGAAGGCTTCCCCTTTTCTGTTCTCCTATCCCCACCTGGGGTCTTTACTTCCTTGGATCACCTTCTTTGCCTCTGTAAGCACTGGAGGTTACAATTTGAGGTTACACTATTTTATAGTATATTTGGATAAAAATTTCAAGATTTTCAAGGTGGTCTGTATTAATTTATAATGTAGATTCTACATTGAATATTAACCTCGGGAACAGGATCGAATTTTTAAGTTAGAATTCATAAGTGGTTTTTAAAATAACTTTTTACATGTACTGCAAGTAATCCTATTCCCATCAGAATGTCTATAAGCCTGATGAGATTAATCATGGTTACAGTTGGCTAGGTTATGCATATTGCAGACAATATTATGTCTTTTTCCTCAGCATTGTTCCTTAAAAATGCAAGTGATTTAATAACTTTCATTATGCTACAAATAATCCATGTAGATCAGTATTAGAAGTTTTATTAATAAGCCATTCTATTTTTGTTTCATATTTTGCCTGGAATATCATTTTAAGTAGCAATTAAAATGGAAACCAGAATAAAAACTGATTTTTTAAGAAAAGTTGATATGTAGGGTCTCATGGTTATATGATTGAGATTAAAATTTCATACTGAGCTTACTAACAGTGAAGATAAAACAAAACTGTCTTCTTACAATAGGACAAAACCCACGGACCATTTAGTAATAAGCAATCAAGCTTCATTTGAAGCCTGTATCTTTTCATTCAGAGCCCATTTCCGGATGACCCATTTGAGGCAGTAGTGCCTGACATTGACATTTGGGAACCTGATACCATTGATAGAAGACAAGCAATTTTGTATACCTGGGGAAAACCTTCATTTTTACTGGAAAGCTGTCAAAACTGTATCCCTGAAACGCTAATTCCTCAAATGTAAATGGTTGCAACAAAAAAGGTATAGGGCAAATAGGGAGTAAGTAGTTAAACAGATTTCTTTAGTACTAGACATATAATGCACAGTTTTAGAGTATTTTTCAAACATAGATCCTGGAGTCTTTTCACTGGGGCAGTCATTAACTTTTGGTAAAGTAAATATTCTTTGGAATGATTAGTGTAAGAAACACTAGAGAGACTCACTTAGGTTATTAATTCAGTAAAAATACTTAAGCACTTCCTACAATGTTTTAAAGCTTGGAGGTAGAGAGATTAAGAAACAGCCCCTGACCTCAAAAAGCTCTTGGTTTAGATGGGGAGCAATAAGGTAAGTACAGAACACCCTGGTCAGTACTGTGATGACAGCAAAGCCTTCTTGAACACTTCAGGGTTTGAAGTGAGTTTTGTAGATGACTTTGCAGGTAATCTGTTGAAGAGGTAGAGGAAGGGCATTTCCAGGCAAGGAGCAGCAGGTGAAAGCTCTGAGGGCTGAGAAGGAAGGGGGCCACTTTTTAGTTTCCTTCTATATTATATGTTCAGGGGCAAAAGATCTCTCATAAGTTTTTGTAAGTTATAAATTGTTTTTGCTCTTTTACAGCATGATCTCACACCACTTTTACTTGCTATATCTAAAAACAATAATCAGATGGTCGAGTTTTTAGTAAGTAAAGGAGCAAACATATACATCAGTGACAAGAACAAAAGGTACAGTAGTGTTTTTCTTAACCCTTATTGCTCTAGTGTCATGACAACCGCTCACATCAGAAGATTAAATTAAGATGATTAGTTGATAATTATGTAGTGAAGATATCAACAACACATCATTAGTTAGTAGAAAAGCAATGATTCTGCCTGGGCAACAGCAGATACAGCAGGATTCATTTACAATATTGGCTGATAACATTTGGAGTTATTTTTTTGCCCATATGATTTTAGATTAGCTAAAGGGTGGGTTACATATCAGTTTCATAAAGTACAGACTCTTTAAAGACACAACTTTCAAGTTTTTAACCATTTTATAGCTTTTTTTTTGGTATCATTAATCTACAGTTACATGAGGAACATTATGTTTACTAGACTCCCCCCATCACCAAACCCGCCCCACAAACCCCATTACAGTCACTGTCCATCAGCATAGTAAGATGCTGTAGAATCACTACTTGTCTTCTCTGTGTTGCACGGCCCTCCCTGTGCCCCCCTGCCTCACATTATACATGCTAATCATAATGTCCCCTTTCTTTCCCCCTCCTCCCTCCCTTCCCACTCATCCTCCCAAGTCCCTTTCCCTTTGTTAACTGTCCATTCTTGGGTTCTGTGAGTCTGCTGTTGTTTTGTTCCTTCAGTTTTTTCTTTGTTCTTATACTCCACATATGAGTGAAATCACTTAGTACTTGTCTTTCTCCGCCTGGCCTATTTCACTGAGCATAATACCCGCTAGCTCCATCCATGTTGTTGCAAATGGTAGGATTTGTTTTCTTCTTATGGCTGAATAATATTCCATTGTGTATATGTACCACATCTTCTTTATCCATTCATCTACTGATGGACACTTAGGTTGCTTCCATATCTTAGGTATTGTAAATAGTGCTGTGATAAACATAGGGGTGCATATGTCTTTTTCAAACTGGGCTACTGCTTTCCACAATGGTTAAACTAGTTTACATTCCCACAAGTAGTGTAGGAGTGTTCTCCTTTCTCCATAACCTCGTCAACATTTGTTGTTGTCTGTCTTTTGGATGGTAGCGATCCTTACTGGTGTGAGGAGATATCTCATTGTAGTTTTCATTTGCATTTCTCTGATGACTAGCAATGTGGAGCATCTTTTCATGTGTCTGCTGGCCATCTGAATTTCTTCTTTGGAGGACTGTTGCTTCAGCTCCTCTGCCCATTTTTTAATTGGATTATTTGCTTTTTGTTTGTCAAGGTGCATGAGCTCTTCATATATTTTTGGTTGTCAACCCTTTATTGGATCTTTCATTTATGAATATATTCTCCCATACTGTAGGATGCCTTTTTGTTCTGTTGGTGGTGTTCTTTGCTGTACAGAAGCCTTTCAGCTTGATACAGTCCCACTTGTTCATTTTTGCTTTTGTTTCCCTTGCCCGGGGAGATATGTATGAAGAGGTCGCTTATGTTTATTTCCACGAGATTTTTGCCTATGTTTATTCTAAGAGTTTTATGGTTTCATGACTTCACATTCATGTCTTTGATCCATTTAGAATTTACTTTTGTGTATGGGGTTAGGCAATAATGCAATTTCGTTCTGTTACATGTAGCTGTCCAGTTTTGCCAACACCAGCTGTTGAAGAGGCTGTCATTTCCCCATTGTATGTCCATGGCTCCTTTATCATATATTAATTGACCATATATATTTGGGTTAATATCTGGACTCTCTATCCTGTTCCACTGGTCTGTGGGTCTGTTCTTGTGCCAGTACCAAATTGTCTTGATTACTGTGGCTTTGTAGTAGAGCTTGAAGTTGGTAAGTGAGATCCCCCCCTCCACACTTTATTCTTCCTTCTCAGTATTGCTTTGACTGTTTGGGGTCTTTTGTGGTTCCATATGAATTTTAGAAGTATTTGTTCCAGTTCGTTGAAGAATGCTGTTGGTATTTTGATAGGGATTGCATTGAATTTGTACATTGCTTTAGGCAGGATGGCCATTTTGACAATATTAAATCTTCCTAGCCAGGAACATGGGATGAGTTTCCATTTGTTGTGTCCTCTTTAATTTCTGTTAAGAGTATCTTGTAGTTTTCAGGATATAGGTTTTTCACTTCCTTGGTTAGGTTTATTCCTAGGTATTTTATTCTTTCTGATGCAATTGTGAATGGAATTGTTTTTCTTATTTCTCTTTCTTCTAGTTCATCATTAATGTATAGGAAATTATCAGATTTCTGTGTATTGATTTTATATCCCGCAACTTTGCTGAATTCAGATATTAGTTCTAGTAGTTTTGGAGTGGAGTCTTTAGGGTTTTTTATGTACAATATCATAGTCTGTAAATAGTGACAGTTTGACTTCTTCTTTACCAATCTGGATGCCTTGTATTTCTTTGTTTTGTCTGATTGCTGTGGCTAGGACCTCCAGTACTATGTTGAATAACAGTTGGGAGAGTGGGCATCTCTCTCTTGTTCCTGCACTTAGAGGAAAAGCTGTCAGCTTCTTGCTGTTAAGTATGATGTTGGCTGTGGGTTTGTCATATTTGGCCTTTATTATGTTGAGGTATTTGCCCTGTATACCCATTTTGTTGAGAGTCTTTATCATGAATTGATGTTGAATTTTGTCAAATGCTTTTTCAGCATCTATGGAAATGATCATGTGGTTTTTGTCCTTCTTTTTGTTGATGTGGTGGATGATGTTGATGGATTTTCGAATGTTGAACCATCCTTGCATCCCTGGGATGAATCCCACTTGTTCATGGTGTATGATCGTCTTGATGTATTTTTGAATTCAATTTGCTAATATTTTGTTGAGTATTTTTGCATCTATGTTCATCAGGGATATTGGTCTGTAATTTTCTTTTTTGTGGTGTCTTTGCCTGGTTTTGGTATTAGAGTGATGTTGGCTTCATAGAATGAGTTTGGGAGTATTCCCTCCTCTTCTATTTTTTTGGAAAACTTTAAGGAGAATGGATATTATGTCTTCTCTGTATGTCTGATAAAATTCCACGTTAAATCCATCTGGCCTGGGAGTTTTGCTCTTGGGTAGTTTTTTGATTACCGCTTCAATTTTGTTGCTGGTAATTGGTCTGTTTAGATTTTCTGTTTCTTCCTTGGTCAGTCTTGGAAGGTTGGGTTTTTCTAGGAAGTTGTCCATTTCTTCTAGGTTTTCCAGCTTGTTAGCATATAGATTCTCATAGTATTCTCTAATGATTCTTTGTATTTCTGTGGGGTCCATCGTGGTTTTTCCTTCCTTGTTTCTGATTCTGTTAATGTGTGTTGATTCTCTTTTTCTCTTAATAAATCTGGCTAGGGGCTTATCTGTATTGTTTATTTTCTCAAAGAACCGGCTCTTGGTTTCATTGATTTTTTTTTTCCTATTGTTTTATTCTTCTCAATTTTATTTATTTCTTCTCTGATCTTTATTATGTCCCTTTTTGTGCTGACTTTAGGCCTCATTTGTTCTTTTTCCAGTTTCAATAATTGTGACTTTAGACTATTCATTTGGGATTGTTCTTCCTTCTTTAAGTAGGCCTGGACTGATATATACTTTCCTCTTAGAACTGCCTTCGCTGCGTCCCACAGAAGTTGTGGCTTTGTGTTGTTGTTGTTATTTGTTTCCCTATATTGCTTTATCTCTATTTTAATTTGGTCATTGATCCATTGATCATTTAGGAGCATGTTGTTAAGCCTCCATGTGTTTGTGTGCCTTTTTGTTTTCTTTGTAAAATTTGTTTCTAGTTTTATACCTTTGTGGTCTGAGAAGTTGTTTGGTAAAATTTCAACCTCTTTGAATTTACTGAGGCTCTTTTTGTGGCATAGTATGTGGTCTATTCTGGAAAATGTTCCATGTGCACTTGAGAAGAATGTGTATCCTGCTGCTTTTCAGTGTAGAGTTCCATGGATGTCTGTTAGGTCCATTTGGTCTAGTGTGTTGTTCAGTGCCTCTGTCTCCTTACTTATTTTCTGTCTTGTGGATCTGTCCTTTGGAGTGAGTGGTGTGTTTAAGTCTCCCAAAATGCATTCTGTTTCCTCCTTTAATTCTATTAGTATTTGTTTCACATATGTTGGTGCTCCTATACTGGGTGCATATATATTTATAATGGTTATATCCTCTTATTGGACTGACCCCTTTATCATTATGTAATGTCCTTCTTTATCTCTTCTTACTTTCTTTGTTTTGAAGTCTGTTTTGTCTGATACTAGTAGTGCAACACCTGCTTTTTTCTCTGTATTGTTGGCATAAAATATCTTTTTCCATCCCTTGACTTTTAATCTGTGCATATCTTTGGGTTTGAGGTGGGTCTCTTGTAAGCAGCATATAGATGGGTCTTGCTTTTTTATCCGTTCTATTACTCTGTGTCTTGTTTGGTGCATTCAGTCCATTTACATTTAGGGTGATTAATGAAAGATATGTACTTATTGCCATTGCAGGCTTTAGATTCGTGGTTACCAAAGGTTCAAGGGTAGCTTCTTTGCTATCTGTCTAACTTCACTCACTTATTAAGCTATTATAAACACAGTCTGATGATTCTTAATTTCTCTCCCTTCTAATTCCTCCTCCATTCTTTATATGTTTGGTGTTTTATTCTGTGCTCTTTTGTGTTTCCTTTTACTGCTTTTGTGAGTAGTTGATTTTATTTTTTGCCTTTAGTTTGTATTACTAAAGGCATATGGTTGGTCTGCTTTTACTTTCTCTGGTGACATCTATTTAGCCTTATTCCTTCCTTCTCGAGGAGTCCCTTTAAAATATCCTGTAGAGGTGGTTTGTGGGAGGCAAATTCTCTCAACTTTTGCTTGTCTGGGAATTGTTTAATCCCTCCTTCATGTTTAAATGATAATTGTGCTGGATACAGTATTCTTAGCTCAATGCCCTTCTGTTTCATGGCATCAAATATGTCATGACATTCCCTTCTGGCCTGTAAGGTTTCTGTTGAGAAGTCTGAGGATAGCCTGATGGGTTTTCCTTTGTAGGTGACCTTTTTTCTCTCTCTGGCTGCCTTTAATACTGTCCTTGTCCTTGATCTTTGCCATTTTAATTATC